GCTGCTTTTTCACACTAATGTGGCATGTTTTTGCGCATATGTAAAAGATGCCTGGTTTTCAGACAGAGTAAGCTACCGAATTTATAATTCAGGTGTTTTAACTTCAGATCTAATACCTTACATCTGCAAGTAATGTTTTGAGAGGTTCTCTCTTCAGTTACCTATCCAAGCATGGCAGGATGCTCCTAACTTAGTTACCACAGTTAGACAGGATGAATACAGGCTGGTGCTGTGAAAGTTAAAAGAAAGTCACCCCAAACTCCACCACCTCTTGGTATCAGAGAAGCGATGGCAGAAAACCCTCTTCCTCCTTCTTAGCAAGGGTGGGAGGGAGGGGTTCTGTGCACTGGTTGGGGACTGGGAACTTGCCCACGTACGTCCATGCGGTGCCTTTTGAACCAATGAAGATGCACTGATTTGAATTAAGTGATAGTAGCCCTGCTTTCAAAGATTTTTCACATTATGGTTGCTTTTATAAAAAGAAGGAACAAACAAACAAACCAACTCACATGAAACACTTGCCATAGCAATGGTCCTGACCATATATAGCCTTTCAGAATTGCTAATGACATATTTTGAACCATCACTGCAGTAACACAGGGTGAACATAATGAATCAAGTGCAGCTGCCAGGGTTCCCTTTGACTTTTTACTGGCTTATTTGCTTCCCTTTGTGTGGGCACATTTTTAACAGCGTAGACAGCTAAATCAATGGCCAGTCAACTATTGATCCCTGGCTAGTTTCACTCTCTTGTTGAGCAGCACACCAAAAGGCTTACAAGACTGCACAGAAAGCCTAAACTTTACATGGATTTTATTAGTGCACTAAGTACTGATAATCCAACAGATACAGTAGGACACTGGTAAAAGCAATGTTGGCCACCTTGTCAAGAGTCCTTGACAGCAGGCACTGCTGCAAGCACTAGCTATCTCCTCAACCAAGACTGTGTCTAAACACTCAAGATTCCGTAGAGAAAGTACTGAAGAGCAGAGGACACTGGGGTATTCAAAGAGGCTTATTTTGCTTAGGTACCTTCAAAAGAATCTGTGTGTTGTTTGATGGCCTTCCAAAGGCTCCAATACATAAAGATTTAACATCTCAGGATGTTAAATCTCTCTTTCATCCTGTCACATCTACTTCTCAGTAGTCACTGTGCCTTTTTAGACTGAGTGTTGACTATGTTTCATAAATTATCTTTCTTCTGTACCCAACCCTGCACAACTTTTACACTACAAGGGTTAAAAATTTATTAGCAATGTGTTTTTTCTATAGCGCTGCAGGAGATTTGGCCTCAGCATAATTATGCAACTATTGCACAGCAATAATTAAGCCCAATCCATCAAACATTATAAATATAGCTAAAAGTAAACCTGCAGCATGCATTTTCTGTATAAGCCTGATTGTCAACATGTCATGTCAAAAGCCTGTTAACGACAACCAGGACACTTTCTGAAAAGACACAGTGGTTCTGCACATGAACACGGAGTAAGTGTTATTCTGAAGAAAAGCATTTTCCCAATGATTTTAAAAAGTATTTTATTGTTATTTGCATAAGTAAATTTAAGCATTTCTGAGCTTTATAATGACCCAAGAAAAGAACTCCTGCCGTTAGAAATCCTTTGCCCAGGATCATCTAGCCAGAAAAGAGAGATGTGACTTAGGCACAAAGCCTTTCTGTGCCTTCACTGAAACATTCTGCTTGCAGTTACTTCTTAAACAAGGCATAACCTAAATTGACTCTACCAAATTTTGTCAAAAAATTGCAAACAAGCAAATTCCTAAATACCATGAAAAAGAACAAAAGTATCTGTATGAGCTCCACAGTGCAGTATTATTTATAAGCACTGTTTTAATTAAAACCATGAACTTGGAGTTCACAGTTTATATATGCCCAGGATTTCTTCTCACTGTGCAAACTCTCACTGTGCTGTGGTGTGTAAGCTGGACTCAACTTTCTTTTAATTAAGTTTGTTCATGGACAGCACAGCATTTACAGAAGCTAAATATTGCTGGAACCAAATTGTTATTGGTCTGTCCAGCACAGAGCTGCTGCAGAACCTTCCATCATGCATTTCATCTGCCAATGGTGATTTGATTTGCCCTTCATCTTTTCTGACAAATATGGACTTGAGTTGCTATGGTCGCTGCCTTCAGAGCATTGTATAAGATATATGGTACCACCTTGTATTTCCACAAAATACAATCATAACCAGAACTATCACAGACTGATATAAAAATCTATTTTTTCATACTTCTTCCATTACAAGGTGAGATATTTAGAATTCTTTACTTCTTAGTTTTCCTAGAAATAAATTTCCACAGATTCCAACTCGCACAACTGCAGCCTAAATGGTAGCTCAACCTCTGCAAAAATCATTGTCACTCTACCTTTGAAGGTGTTCAGTTGCCTCCATATTCTCTTTCACAATGTTTTAACGACTGCTTTGCTATTTATATTGCTGTTAAGTAAGAATCAATTAATTACCTCAGATTATCTGAAGGCTGTCTACAACAATTTCTGACAATGCTACATAATCTCCTAGCCGTGAACCCTAAACTAGAAACTCACTGACAACCTCTGGAAGCAAAAAGCTGATTCGCCAGATGAGTTGCAATCTAAGTTGAACACCTTACCTATTTATTTTGATTTGCCATTGTGTCCTAGTGAACTTAAGACACAGTGTCCTACTGCATGTTAGACAATATTGCATCAAGTATGTTTATTTGCTTTATGCTACACTGGGTTAATGACATGCTGACTGACATATATTTTCCAGGATTTTCTTACCAATATTTAGAC